ATATTACATAAATACATATTACATTATACATAAAAATAAATGTATACATAATAAATAAAATCCTTTTTTAAAAAGCAGATAGGATTCTGCATGTGTGCAAATCCCTGAAGTGGCAGGAGGGGAGACAGAATTAGGCAGCTTCCTGGGCTCACTGACTAGCTAGTCTTCCCTACTTGGTGAAGTTCCAGGCCAATGAGACCCTCTCGCAAACAAAAGGTAGAAGGCACCTGAGGAACCATGCATAGGTTGTCCTTTATCCTCCACATGTGCACTCGTGTGCACACACACACACACACTCACACACACACACACACACACACACACACACACACACACACACGTGTGGGTTAGATGATTCTAATGGTCCTTATTGAAGAAGAAACTGTAAAGTGCTTTTCTAGCGCCTACTCACTTAGCCCGTTAGGCGATGCACTAAGCAAATGAGCACATCTAAACTCTGCATGGGCTTCTGGTTGGCCCATCATCCTTCAGTTTCTGGAAGATTCCCTCTTACTCTGTGAGTGGCAGGAGATGAGCACACAGACCCCCCCAGACAGATGTGCAAGTCCTCCCCTCTACACCCTGCTTCCACTACTCCTACTCTGCCAAAGTCCAGGCCTAAATGGGCAGCAAGGGCAAGAAAGAAAAGGCCAGGTGACAATGGCTACAGAGCCATCATAGCAAGGCACAAAGTCAGAAAGCAGGGTGGAAGCACTGCTGAGGCGCTGCAGAGGGAAAAACAGTGCAGCCGGGAGACCTGGGTGTTAGGCCTACTAGTCATCTGTGTGACCAGCTAAATTGTGTCCCCTGCTCAAATGAGGTTGAAGCTCTATGTGGCCCTATCTAAATGTCCTCAGAGAGATAATTAAGCTTAAATGAGGCCATTAGCATGGACCCTATCCTTGTATGACTCAGGAAGAGAGAACCTGCACATGGATACAGGAAAGACAGTTGAAGGCATGGTTAGGAGATTGCCTTCCACAAGCACAGGGGAATCCTGGAACAGGTCCTTCCCCACAGTCTCAGAAGAAACCTCACAGCTGTCACCTTGGTCTTGCACTCCAGCCATTAGAACTAACAGGAAGCAGGTTTCTGTTTTTGAAGCTTCCAGCCTCTGGTACCGCATTACCACAGCCCTAGCAAACGAGTACACCCAGCAAGTCACTATTACCCATACAGAGTGTCAGTGTCCACAACTACAAAATGGGAACACCTGACCTGCCTACTTCACAGATTTGCAGTGGGGATCCCGAGCTAGACCATGGGATGCCAGGCAGGAAGACAGACAAAGTCACAGGACCAAGGAAGAAAGCAGAGTCATAGTCAGAGGTGTGAGGGCCAGCCTCAGCAAGCCTGCTCCTACCTCCAGGGAAGTGGGGAGCTGCCCTCATCCCCAGTGGATGAGAAACAGAATCTGTATGGGAGAGCAGAACTGAAAGGTGAAAATTCTAAGGAACAAATACATAAACAAACAAAAACACTACATGAAAGTCCCTGTGAATTTTATTTGTTGGGCCAAAACACTCGAAGACAATGGGATTTCTTTAACACATTTAACTTATTTACATGCAAGAATCCCTAGAAAGTCAATGAAAGGAATGTGACTTATCTTCAGAAATAAACTAAAAAGCAACCCATGTCTATGACACATAAACAATATATACCAGCATTGTCCAAAAGAACTTTCTGGGGTGATGAGAATGTTCTAGATCGACACTGTCCAGTGTGGCAGCCACTAGCTGCATGGAGTCACTAATGGAATAAGGTGACTGCATTTTCCCATTACAATTACCTTTTTTGAATTCCTGCATATGATCCACAGCCCTATGAGAGAGATACAGTGGTCACCACCCTTTTTAGGGTACTGTAGGGCCTCGTGCATCCTTGGCAAATGCTCTACCGGTGAGATCACCCCCACCCCTGCAACCCCCATTTGCTAGGTATGTTACTGACACCCACCATCTTCCCCAGGTGGGGGATTAGGACTGAGCTCCAAGCCTGTGTGACCTGAAAACTCAAGCTCTTCTCTGACCTCCTAAAACCTGCTCTCAAGGTTTTAATGCAAGGGTTTCTCTTCTTCCAGGGCCCTCCGAGAGGGGATAGACCACGGCCAACACAACCTGGGCAGCAGAATACTCATGGGTAAAGAAGGGTGCATCTTGGACTTTCCCTTTGGGAGGCCAATGGTTTCCTGTTCCCCACTGATCCCAGCTTCCCTGATGCTGATCTCAAGTCAGGTTCTCCATGCTAGATGTCAGCTACTGCTGGTGGTCTCCTAAATAAGAAACCTGAGAACCCCAAGCTGGGTGTGGACTCTGATCACTCTGTGAGGCCACACAACCCAGAAACAGCCGTGTTCACATATGACAGGACTCAGCCTAGTTCACACTACACAGGGCATCCTTCCCATTGGTATTCAGGTTTCCATGTAACAAACCCCTCAAAAGGTTAATAAATTCACTCTCCACCAAATTTGTATATCTACTCAATTCTAATATCTGGAAAACCCTCCTTCATCAGGTAAGCTTAGATTCGTTTTTAAAGGTGAATTACTATCTTTTTCTAATTTTTCCCTCGAAAAATCTCTAAGGGCCAGCTAGGACATTCCACATTTGCATGAAAGTTTCTATTACTAAAGGCTCTGTGGTCCCACTGTATGGTACTTAACCAGCTATACAATACTTTAAAAACAAAGATCAAGCCCAAGCCCAAGCCCTCACACATTGGGCAAGTGTTCCACCACTGCTTTGGTCCCCAGCCTCCACATAACACTTTGTCTATGTGGTCTTGTAGTTTCTAGTTATGATACATGTCTAATCCATAGCTACATATGTGGTCCTCTTAACACTGCATAACCAGAGCCAATAGTCCTCAAGCTTGCTGAACTGCAGGATGCCTGGCCTGGCCTGGCCTGCACCAAGACTTTCCCATTCTGTGGTCCTAGACAAGGGCCTTCGCCTCTTTTCTTCTCATTTCTAAATGATTCGGAGGCTGCTAACCTCAAAAGCCACTAAAGAGGTGTTTGTAAGATTAATATGTGATTGAGTAAGTGAAATTTTTTGTTTAAAAAATCTCATCCTCGCACAGTAGATGGCTCAGAGGGCAAGAAAGCAATCTGTTCTTGCAGAGGACCCAGGTCTGATCCCAAGCACCCATGTCAGGGGGCTCACGGGGATCTGACACCCTCCTCCACTCTCCTTGGGCACTGTTTTCACATGCAGCTACCCACAAAAATAATAGTCACATAATAAAATTAAAATGTTCTTAACCCGAGTATAGAGGAAATCAAACAAACAAACAAAAACCCCTGAGATAAAAAAAAAAAGCAGAAAAGGTAATTTCTGATGGTGACTTCTAGATGATAAGTAATGGGGAGAAAAGATGACGGAAAACTAAAAATCTAGGGCTGCCATCTTGCTTCCTTTACCTGGAACATCTTTATGGACCAGAAATGAAAAGGAAGTTCTTTTTTAAAGAAATTAATTTTTCTGACTTAACCACACATTTAAAAGTATTCTGGGGAGGCCAGGGTGACAGTGCACACCTTTAATACCATCCCTCAGGCAGAGGCAGGAGGATTTCTATGACCTACAGACAAGCTAAAGCTACATAGTAAGACCCTGTCTCAAAAGAATCAATATACATAAACACATATTTTTATATTTTAATATATATTTATACAAATACACTAAATATATTTAAAATAGATTTAATTTATAATTTGTGTGTATTGGGGGAACATTGGACTTAAGTTGAAAAGCAGTAAATTTTTCATAAGAAAATAATCAGACATGAATATATAAATGGAGGTCAATAAAGCCCTGTTTATAACAACCAGAAATCTGGAGTAACAGTAATGTTTGGCAAAAGAAATTAGACTCAATAAATCATGGTATGCTCTTAAATGAAATATAATAAAGCCTTGTAAAATGTCTTTATGGGAAATCTTGATTTGACACAGAGATATGTGATACAAAACGATAAAAGCCAGCGAAAGAGTAACCTGAGCAGTGTGATCTAACCCTGAGAGAAATGAGGTAAGAATTAGTTGTCAATCTGTGAGTGAGACGAGAACTTGTTCTTTGACTTTGATGTTTGTATTTCAGTCTCTGCTGTAATAAACAGTCAGTGTGTGTGTCTTTATAGAGTATGAAAAGCAGGCTCAGACATTCTATTTCTTCCTGTGAAGGACCAAAGATAAATGGAAGCTCAATGTTTTACAGGCTTTTCCTTGCCCTGTGCTTTATAAACACCAGCTACAAGCTGGGCTGCCTTTGGGAAGCCTCTGAGGCGCTCGTCCTCCCTGCCTCTGAGGCCAACTCACAGAGAATGACCTGGGGGACCTCTTCATCCGAATGTGGCCATCAGTTTGAGGAATGACAATGTACCCACTGTTACTGGTCATCGAGGAAGCAGCCTTTTTTTTCTTTAAAGCATACTGGCTTTCAACAAGACAGGTTACTTAGCAACATCCAAATGGAAGAAACTGGGGAGAGGGAAGGCGGCAGCCGGAGATGCTTCAGTGAGCTGCCCCACATGAATCTGGATGCATTCAAGGTAACTGAGTAAGACATAATGCTTGACTATTTTTATATCATGAAGCAAAACATTTGGCTCCTGTCCAGAAGAGCAATTACCTCAGTCTTGGCCAGGCCCCTGCAGTGTGTGATTGAAAACTAGTACAGGAGTGGCCAGGCCCCTTTGCTGTATGAATGGTAACTAGTGGTGTGTGAAATGATAACTAGACAGGAGTGGCCAGGCCCCTGTGGTGTGTGATTGATAACTAGTACAGGAGTGGCCAGGACCTGTGATGAGAATTGTTTAACTGATACAGGAGTGACCAGGCCCCTGTGCTGTGTGAATGGTAACTGGTACAGCAGCAGCCAGGCCCTGTGGTGAAAATGGTAACCAGTGGTGTGTGAATGGTAACTAGCACAGGAAAGTCCAGGCCCTGCGGTGAGAATGGTAGCTAGCACAGAAGTAGGGAAAGGATTACTGACCTTCATAAATACTGATGATATGAGGATGGCTGAGAGATGACATGATCTCAATTTCTCGTCTGATGTGAACCATGTCTAGTTCATCCTTAATTTTGTCCTTACGGATGGATTTTATAGCGACCTATAAAGTCAGGAAATGAAATGTTACTCAGAGAACTAAGCAGATGCAAATAAGCCATTGTTGGGGTGGGATGGAAAATAAATACAGATGTTGCTTGTTGGCCAAGTTGGCAACCACCACAACAGAGCTCCACAGAGACCCACCATGCCTTTCATTTATAAACAGCCCAGGTTTTGGGTCTTCTTCTTCATTAAGCAATGGCTGTTTGACCAGGCACAATTCATTTATTCTAGGAGTCTTGATCCTTTGGGGTAAGAGAGGGGACAAAGGTAGGTGGCTTTTACAGGCCAATTATGATCATGGGAGGTGAAATTCTAAGCATGTAGTTCACTGTGAAGCTGTAGTGATGACTTTAAAACAAACAAAAATCACTGTGTGACCACCCCAAAGCCAGTTCAGGCCCTAGTCCCTGATTCTGAAGACTACAACATAGGCTTTGTTCACACATCTTCCTAGACTTTAAATCCTCCCTGCATCCTCCTCCCTTCCCAGGCAGGTCCCATCACAAAGAACCAGGACAAAGCAAAGGGAGAGGCAGCTTCTCTCTGTGCCCAGCCTGTGTCAATTCCAGAAGCTTCCTGTCAGTGTCTGAGAATCCAAATTTTAGGAAAAAGAGGGACCAGTACACAGACATAGGAAAAGACATCAGACAGTAACACAAGTCTATTAAGAAAAGGGTCTGTCTGTTCTCAAACAAGTTGGCAAGAGACAAAAGTGGGGAGCCTACCAACAGCCCACTGCCACACTGTAAGCCTGGTCACAGCCAGCTCTCCTGGAGCACACAGTGCAGTGCAGAAACAAGACAGCTACCTCAGAAAACAAGGTGGATGGTGACAAGCATCTCCCAAAAAGTGAAGCTGTTTCTGACCATCACATGTACACTGTGATGCACATGAGCACGTGTGTGCACGCACACGCACACACACACATACACACACATACACGTCCACATGTAAGCACACACACATGTACTCATACACACATGTGCACAGACACATGCATAAACACACACTCACATACACACAAGCATACACATGCATTCATGCACATACTCACCCATGATCACTTGAATGCACACTCACACTTGCACACTTACATACACACATGCACGCACATGCAAGCACACATGCATGCACGCACACTAAATAAATGAACAAATAATACTCTTTATTAGCACATGCACTGGATGATGCTGCCTATACAGGCACATGAAGAAGAAGCTGATCTTTGATCTCTCTGACATCCTATTTTCACGGGTAATCAAAAGTGGCACGGGTGTAAAACACAGGATGCACAGCTGGAGATCCAATGGAGACACCCCCATCCTGGGGCTGGTTAAAGGCAACTGCACAGATGAATGTACTTTCTGACTTCAAGACCCCTTGTATCCACAGTGCCAGGCTCAGCTGCTCAGGCCCTCATGACAGCTCCATTCACTGTGCAGCAAGAAAAGCCTCCTCTGCTTGCTTGCGTCAGATGGAAAACTATGACTGGGAAGCTTTCTTTTGGCTGAGTGAGGCCTGTATCCTGGGAGCTGATTCCTGGATGAAGCAGACAGTGAACACACACAGGACCTGGAGGATGTGGGAGGCTGCTGGACCAACTTCTACATTCTTTCAAATACTAAGGACAGTCCAAGGACAGAAACCACCCCCTCTGGTTGTGCTTGGAGCTGAGCATAGCCTCAAGGAAGCCCCATTGTCAAATCACAATAGCAATACATTCCTTCATCTTCCAGGGTCAGAGGTGAGGGCATTCTAATACATAAGAAAATGAGCCCTCTGTCCATTCCCTGCAAGAGCCCAGGACAAACAGGTCAAGGGTCTCACAGTGCCACTGCCAAGGCAATGCTTCCAGCTGGGCATAAAGGAAAGGGTCCACATTCTAACCAAGCTCCACTCGGTGCCGCAGAAACTCGAAGGGCTCCACAACGTTAATAACCAGGGTGACTGTCCCTCCAACAAAAGCTTCTTTGCTACTGCAGGGCATCTTCCACTGAAAATGCCAGAGGCCCATTTCTGCTCCTGTTTCAAATGGGGTGGTGGGAAGTCAGGGGAAAACAAAAACTAGAAACCACGGATGCAGTGCAACTGCCAAGGCAGACACTGGGCTCCACTGTGGAGGCCACCCTTCCACAGTCAGCCAGTTACCAGCAAACCAAGAAAGCAGTCCCAGCAACCCTCAGAGTCAGCATTCACTGAGCATCTAACACAGTCAGCCAGTTAACAGCAAATCAAAAAAGCAATCCCAGCAACCCTCAGTCAGCATTCACTGAGCATCTCAAGACAGACACTGTGAAGGGCTCTGTGTGCCGTGGATCTTGGCAGTCTTCTCATGTTAGCTTCTGCTTCATGCCTTCCCCTCCAGCTGGCACAGTCACATGCCCGCCCTAGTCTACCCGTCCCACTCCACCTTCCTCAAGATGTTAGCTAACACCTCTGAGTTCTCTTTCTTTTCTTGTTTGCTACACACTAGGCCTGTTTTTGTAGGACCCAAATAGCCAAAAAGGACATTTTTAAAAGGTTTAGAGGACGGAGACCCAGAACCACAGTCCCTATATGGGTATCTGCCTCAAGAAGATGAAGGATAAACTGAGCTAATGCACAGATGTTATGGGATAAAGGTTAGAACCATGGCTTGGTGACCATTCTCTAGCTGTGTGGCCTTGAGCAGGTTACATAGCCACCCCCCATGCTCATTTCCTCATCCATTTGTGAGGCGGTAACAGAATCTGTTTCATGGGCCCTGCAAACCCTGCATGTGAGATGCTTCAAACATGCCTGGACCAGGTAAACTGCTCAGCAAATGTCGGTCACTTTTACTCAATATCCTATAAGGAGAACCTTCCTTGCTCCTTCGAGCAAACTTGAATTCCTCCTGGCTCCTCAAGACACAGCAAGTGGAGGTCTTACATGTGGAGACCGTGTTTGTTTTCCCCAAAGCAAGACTGGACAGCACCGTCCTGGTCTTGGGATAGCATGTCACCTAAAATGGGAAGCTCAGGATAGCTGAAGCCATTGTTAGTACAGTCGGTACCTGCATCCTCAGATTCACACCAGACAGGAAGTTAAATAACCTGAACCCATAAAGCAACCCAGGGGTCACTCCAATTTCCTTCTTGCCAATGTCTATCAGCTAAACAAGGAAATGCAGTGTCAGTGCTCATGACCTCAGCCTTCAAGATTTATGACTGTTCATTTTTTTTGAGCACCTGCCCCTGGCCAGACTGCACATGCAGGAGGACATGTCCACCATGTTGTCAAGGCAAGAGGTGGTGGAGATGCACAGGCAATGAGAAAAAAATGACAACAAAAAGGATGTCACTCCTCTTATGGCCAAGCCACCTAAGAACTATGCAGCCATGTGTGCCATTACACAGGAATGCCCCTCCCCAGTTTTCCAGCTTGCACATCTATAAAGGATGGTGGAGAGAAGCAGAGGCTTAGGATTGATGATAGGATGTCTTAAATCACATATCTCACCATACCCCAGACCAGCATGGGAAGAGGGCGAGCTTGGGGCAAGAGCTCAGGTGTGTGTGTCTGACACACCGCAGCCACGTTCAAATGCTCCCCAGTCTAGACAGCACCGTGTGACCTATAAAACAGTCTGCTTTTTAAAAGGCCACCTATAGTTTAATGTAGAAACCTTATGCAGTAGCAGCAGGCTTGGCCGTGGAGCTGCGAATTCTGCCCTGTGCTGACTGCTTACTGTCAGAGGGTCTCAGCCCAGCCAAGTCCCATCTCTCGTTAAATAGAACAGGCTCAGTCTTCTCTTTGGGGCTGGCAGTTTCTTTCATTGACTCATCACCACAAACCACCTGCTCTGCAGCCTTCAGGGCACCTTTTCCAAAGTGGCTGGTCTGTGCCGAGATCCTGGTGACAAGCAAGGCGAGGACAGAAGAAAAAAAGGCAAACCAGTTTTCACAGGCTTTCTCCTGGCAGGTAGCTTTGGGCAATCCCAGACTCCACAGCTCACCTGTCGAAGGGGTTAAAGAACCTGAACATCTCTTCAGTAGTGTTTATAGACCAGGTCTGGCTGAAGGACTCGGTGATGCAAGTCCTGAGTCACGCTTAAGGAGCCATTAGCCACAGCAAGCCATAACGTAGGCAGTTCTCCACATGCCCCGCTTCCTCATCCATCCTTACACAGTGGCAAACACAGGTTGAAATTTAAATACATTTCCAGAGAGGCCCTGGAAAGGATGCCTGTGTACAGTAGACACTGCTCTGGGGCATGAGGGACATTGATCTAACCAAGGTAGTGGCAGTCATCTTCGGTCCCCAGTCTCCTTGTAGGAATGGTTACGTATACACTGCCCAATATTGGCCTGGAGAGAATATCCTAAAACAGCACCTCTACAACAAGACATGCCTGGGAATCTTATCAAAACATACATTCTAAACCTAGAAGTATGGGGTAGGGCCTGGGATTCTGGGTTTGTAGCACGATGCTCAGTAATACAGTCATGCTATTGGAGGGACCACATGTTCAGGAGCCAGCAATGACTCCTGGATCCTGATATATCAATACCTGACAGTATTTTATTTTTGTAGTACTGCAGGTCGAATCCCAGGCCTTGAGCATACTAGGTAAGCACTCTAGTTGAGCTGCGCCCCTACCCTATTTTATTTATTTACACATTTAGATACAGGGTCTCCCTGAGTTGCCCAGACTGGCCTGGAAATAAATCTGTAGCTCACACAAACCTTAAACTTGTGATCTGCCTGCCTCAGCCTCCTGGGGATACAGGCCTTTGCCACCAGGCCAAACTTCTGATGGTGTTCCTAGTGAGAGCAATAACAGACATCCACAGACCTTATTTCATTTGGTCCTAACTACATCATGTTTATAGACAGACACTGAGCCTGGAGGCTGCTGACTCCTGAGGCTATGGATACAGGAAGGATGAACACTGGTAAGGGCCAGGTGTAGTGGTGCATGCCTTTAATACCAGCAGAAGCAGAGGCAAAGGCAGGTGGATCTCTGTGAGTTCAAGG